GTTGTTGGGCTTCTTTTAATGGATGTAGGAATCTGAAGAACCTTTCCTTAGAATATTTTAAATTACCCTCTAGGAAGCATTCTTTCGCCCCTGGCATATCGCTGATTGGTTCAAAGCATATTTAGTGTGCTTATGTAATATTTGATCTCCAATTCAGGAGTCACTATATGGGAATTGATGACCTTCGGAGGAAAACCCTACGATGGAATTCCAACCAGAGAAATCCCCGACTTATTAGAAAAAGGAGAACGTCTGCCCCAGCCTCCCATCTGCACTATTGACGTTTACATGGTCATGGTCAAATGTAAGACTGCAGAATAAGTTTATTGTCATCATCATCATCACTCTTAGTAAAGGAATAGTACAGATTAATCAACCTGCACAACTTTTCGGTATATTGAAAAATATCAGAAGTTCCAAGATAATTATGAAAAGAGAATGTAAACACTTGAGTTGTGATTATTGTTAATATGGAGCAACATCATGCTTTCAAGCTATGAGTTATATGACTCTTAACAATTATTTATTTCACTTTGATGCTTAGCATTTCCATGACAATCAAATTGTTTCTCATTAAGATATATAATTAATCACAATAATGTGAATAACCTCTAAAGAAAAAAGCAGATGAAATAAATGATCTACATATGAAAAGAGTTGGAAATTGACAGTTTAAAAAGTGAATTAAATGGAAATAGATTTGCCAATTTCAGTCAACAGGAAATTAGCAAGGCAGAGTGGGAAGTGGAAAGGCATGGATCTACACGGAACTGAAAAAATGATGAATATTTACTTTTTTTCAGCTTGATCCTTTGTTTACGTCTACCTCTCTTACTTTTTTCCCCCCATTCTATGCCCCAGACACATATGTATTATAAATGTGTTTTGGAAGCCTAGGCTCTTAATTTAAATAGAATTAAGGAAGTCTCTGGAGTTTCTGACTTAATTTAAGTGAGATTAGCATTCAGCAATCTTTTTTGTGTAATCTGGGGTTTTCCCCTTTTGATTTACACAGGGTGAGCAAGGAAACAAACCGGTGAAGGTGAATAAGCATCTTATTAATAAGAGACTTTGGACCCGGGTCTACTCAGATTTATATTCATGACATGTGTGATACATTCTGACAGTGAGGGGAGAAATAAAAAATGTGCTTTTCAGTTCGGGTCAGCATGCCCTTTTCTCTAAGCATAGTTCTATTTACTCAATATTTAGTTAGAAAGAAACTGATACCTCATTGTGAATTTAACCTTTTTTGATTCCAGTAGAGTTCCAGAAACACCTATTTTCTCAGCATCCTGGTATCAACAGCATTCTTTTTTTAGTGGATGCATATAAAATAATAGAGCATTTGAACTTTGTTAGGAGAGAAAAAAAATAGAATAATATTAATGATACGGAAAATGATCCCAGAGACTTCCCAGAACAAGAATAAAAATTGAATTCCCAGAAAAAGGAGAAACAGGCTTTATATAGTTTTACTGAGTCAAACATTGTTCAGTAGTCATCTGTGGAAGAAAGGTAAAAACATACATGCACTATATAATTTGATCATAATATGCGATGATTTAAATACTTCATTTAGACACGCTGATGAAATATTGAAAAATTAGGGAAACATTTTGCCTAATAGGGAGTTTTACCTTGCTTTTAGGAGTTTTGAAACCTAAGAAAATGGTCATTTGGCAATAAAATCAAGGAAAGCTTGGGGCTTTTATTCTTGTCATTTCATCAGTTTAACAGAGCCTGGGGAGATAAGACCCACTTTATCTAGACTCCCAGCTAAATCATAATACCTACCTTAAAAATTGCTGATAGTAATTTTATGCTAGAAATGCTGGCACTAAGATAAGCTAATCGCTATTGCTGAACAAACATTACCAATCACTTTGCATTAGCTTTTTTCCACCAGGATAAACGTCACATAAGAAAGTTGCTTTCTATTCCTTTTTTCCCCTTTGTGCTGGCGTACCACATTGTAACCAAAGCTTTTTTATTCCATGTCACGCATGATATAAAATGATAAATTATGTTTCAATCACCTCTTCTATACCAATCAAAGAAAAGTTTTTTAAAAGATTCTTTTCACACCAAACATAAAAAGATCTGAGGTTCTGTAAGTTCCGATGGTTAGCCTAAGTTATACTTTCTATAAAGAAAAATTAATCTTAAATTAGATCAACAAAATAAAAAGCTTGTGTGAGTCTACAATATATTACATTTAGTTATAAATATCAACAAACTGAGATAGAATCTCACCTATTGAATTGTTTCTTTTATTAGCTTTCTTTGTTTTTCGCATCACTTTATTAAAACAATATTTTTCAAACTTAGCCTATAGTTTCATGAAATTTACATCCCACTTCTTCCTAATTATGGATAGAGTGACTCTTTTGTTGCATGTAATTTCTAGGTTGGATGATTGATGCTGACAGTAGACCTAAATTTAAGGAACTGGCTGCTGAATTTTCAAGGATGGCTCGAGACCCTCAAAGATATCTAGTTATCCAGGTTAGTACATTTGACTTAGATTTTTAAGACTATCCCAGTGGCAAACTCGGAATAATATCTGAACTTTGGAACTGAAAATCGCTACTCATATGTCTTTTAACTAAACAATATCATATTAAATGACTTTTACTTGATGTCAGGACCACTTCTAAGCATCTTCTCTTAGTAGTCAAGTGCCTCTACTCTTGAACAGCCAGATATTTATGATTATTCATGTACATAAAAAGGTTTTTATCCTAAGACAAGCCCTTTAATATTCTGCTTTTTATTAACATTATGTGTAAGTCATGTTCATTGTTGTAATCTTCTCTTCTTAAAATAAAAGGAAGATGGATTTTTGTTATAACCATGAGCATAATTGAAGACAGTGAATTAAAGGGTTCAATATATTGACATTTGATTTCCTCAAAAAATATTTCTAAATATATTTTGTTTTCTCTTGGGAGGTATGCACTATCCAAGCAATGACTCAGATTCAAATGAATTAATGTACATGAATAAAATAAAAGGTCAAAAGAACACTGTATATTTAACCCTAGAAAAAATGGATTTGATAATTTAAAAATTATAACATACTTCTTTATAATTATTTTTACCTAAAGCATAAACAAGTGGACCTTGGGTAATACTGAGTTAAGTTTCCTCAGTAAAACAAGGTAGTATTTACATCAATAGTTTGACATGAAGAGAAAAGTCAGGTTTTAGTAGATAATGGTTTCTTGTTATCTTTTCCCCAACTTACAGAAACAAATTGTTTACAAAAATATCATGTAACTTTGAAAAAAAAATTTAGTTCTATTTAAGAAGTAGATGAGGCAAGGGTGTAATAGTAGTTTTGATATCTATCCCACCCCATTTATGTTATTTACCACTTGTGCTGTGATTTCAAATGCTATCACTTTAACAATGTTATGCTACAGAGCAACTCATGGAGCCTATGTGGACTGATAACTACACTGCCAACCCAACCAAGTCAAATAAAGATTGATAAGTTCATTGCCCTTTATTATTTATTCTTAAAGTCGCAGCTCAAACGCCATCTTGGTAATCAAGCCTACCATTATTCTCAGATCTGAAATGGATTATGCCTCCCTCAAAACAGCAACAGCATTCTGCTTTATCATCTCTACTGGCATTTATCACATTCTTCTTGTGCTAAATGTATTTATCTTCCCCTGTCATCTCTAAGTATGTGACAGGCTTCTTTATGGCTGGTAGCTGTGCTAAAGAATTATTGTTATTATTTTGAATGAACGCATGAATTTTCAACCGTTTGTTTTGATATTACATAAATTTGCTCCAAAGGCCACATGTTTAAGATGAAGGGAAGGATCATTTTTTGATGTGTCTGATGGGCAATTTTTCAGGGTGATGATCGCATGAAGCTTCCCAGTCCAAATGACAGCAAGTTCTTTCAGAATCTCTTGGATGAAGAGGATTTAGAAGACATGATGGATGCTGAGGAGTACCTGGTCCCTCAGGCTTTCAACATCCCACCTCCCATCTATACTTCCAGAGCAAGAATTGACTCAAATAGGGTAAGAAGAAATTATATACCATTTCTCATATTATTTCTGAGAAAGAAAATCATGGAAATACATTATAAACATTAATACTACAAAATAATTTTATAGCTCAACTCAGTGTGATTCCTAAATTGTTACACCAACAAAAGCTATGCCAAGCTTGCCATGTAGAGTTCATTTTGGAAAGCAAGCATGGGAAATGCGCTCTGAGATACCCTCAGGTTTCAGAAGGGGAAACTTTTCTTAGTCTTAGTTAAAGCAAATCTTAATTTTGGAAAATCTACAACCAATTTAAAGAAATAAATCTGTATGTGTTTATAAATAAATAAAAATTCTTCCCAAGATAGGTTTCTCTGCTTTTTGTCTTAATAAGATAATGTGACTTATTGGTCAAGAGGCAATGCAAGTACACCTCTTTTTTATTTATTTAACAGACGTTAAATATTTTCTGTCAAGTTGAAGTAGAAACAGAAAACTGTAATCCTTTGAACTAAGTCCACCACATTGAGGGACTTCTGAATTATTTCTAAGGTGTAGATTTAAGTTTTGAAAGAAGCTTTGGAGAAGAATTTATATTTCACTTAAAATATTAAGCACACTCTGTATGAATACCATTCTTTCTCTAAAAACTGTCAATCCATGTATTCATTCATTTGTTTATTTTTGAAAATTCATTCATCATGCATTCAATATGTACCGAGGACCTCTACATGTGAGGCATTATTAGACACTTGAGATGCAAAGAATTTTGACAAAACTACTACTTTCAAGAAGTACTAAGGTTAACAAAAGAGGCACACAGGTATATAGAGAGGGTACAGCATGACAGTGTTGACATTCAAGTGTCCATTAGCCCTCATGGAGCATGGAGAAGCTGTAAAATAATGCCTGTGGTCAGTTTCTTCCATTGAAAAGGTATAAACATGATGTTTAACTTTTTCCTAGAAAGCAGTTCTCTTCTCTTGGTGTCTTCCTTTGTTTAAGAACAGCATCATAGGTGGTGAACAACAGCATCCCATTTGCCTTGACCATAGACATAAGGAAACTTTCAACTTGCTGCTCATTCTTTAAAATGAAGTCACTTGATTTATTTCAAATTGACAGCAGTAATAAACCTAGTGTTTACTGTGTGTCAACATATATATATTGTCTCTTAATAGTTACAGTAATCCCATGAGGTTCTATTATTATTATCTCCATCTTGCAAATAAAGAAACTCGTCACAAAGTTAAGTGATTTGACTGGTGTCACACAGCCAGTCGAAGGGCAGGATTCTAAGTGAACAGTCTGTCTCTACACCACATACTGTTGCTTCAGAGTTATTGGAACATGATATTTTCAATATGGTTGTTTTTCTCAGCATCAACCTCAACCTCTGAGATACATGTTGTTTGGGAAATTTTTTAAGTGCTTTTCTTGTAAAATGCATCCCCCAACCTTCCCCATACCTTTTGCTTATCCACCCGCATTTAGAAGGTCTGATGTAGAAAGAGGCAAAGATGAAGACCTCAGTTAATTTTCCCTTTAAATGAAAAATATGTCTTGTAGCTCAGTGGAGAGGAGATGTAACTAAAATGTTTAAAAATTAAATCAACAGATAGGTTATTGAACATGCGTTTATGGGAAGGAGCAAAATCTTTAAGGTTTGTGAAGGAGACACTTTTTTTTCTCTGTACACTTAGCAAAATGACCAAATAATAACTTTGACGTTTATGATTTTATGTAACAAATTCATTACTTTTATTAAAACAGGGATATTTCAAGAAAATAGTTTCCCTTTCTTAACATGAAATGTTGTAAAGGCCAAGAGCTTAAATCTTTTTCTTTTTATAAGGATTCTCAAATTTCAACTTTCTGTTCATATTTATTTATGCTTAATGCAAGGAATTCTTAATATAAGTTTTAACTAAGTGGAATTAGTGAGACAAATAGAAGCCACATGAGGAATTATTTGGCCTTTAGCCATCATCTTATTCCATGTTATTATTTAAACAATATTATCTGTAGATTTCTTTTTACTTTTTCAGGTCCTTGTTAAAGGGATTGTGCTTAAATATCATTTTATTTTCAGGCATTAAAAAGCCTTATTAGTCATCTATATTTTTCTATTTTTTTTCAGTCTTGCTTTATATAACTTTCATGATAATTTCTAATATGTGCAAATGCTGTTTTCCTCCCTTCTTTTTTATAAAGCTAAGTTATGTTGTTTTATAGTTAGAAAATAAATTATTTCCATTTTAGGTTCTGTGGCCAAGTTATACAGTAAGGGACCATTTTAAAGTAAAGTTTAGTCAAATGTTTTTGAGTATATTTGTTGGACTTTGAAACCAAAAAGTAATTCAGTTTTTGAATATAGACTCTCCTGTTTACTAGCTGAGAATCTTTACCTAATGTTCTGAATATCTTAACAAGTTTGTTTCTTCATTTGTAAAACAAACATGATGGTACTTATATGATTGTTAGGCAATTAACTTAAAAAAAATTGCAGAGTATCTGAAGTGCTAGGCAAATCAATACTTATTACTTTCTTTTAGAATCACTCAAATTTCATTTTTACTTGTTTCCTTGTCAATCAGAAACAATTACATTCTTTTATAAGGTTTCCTACACATTGTCTATGAGCAGCCTGTTGATGCAATCACTGCTTGACAAGCCAAGTATTTCTGCTGATGTGTTCTTATAGCAAATACATTATGGAAGTTATTTTTATTGTGGCTTTAATTATTTTAAATTCTCTCTATATATTTTGATAAATTATAACCTTAAAGCAATGAGTCAAATAAAGAAAAACAATGTTGATATTTATCTAGCAAGATGATAGATACAAATGCAAGTAATGCCAGAAAACATTCACCAATTTTATATATGTTGGTGTCATTATTGTTAGATATCCTTTTAATATTATCTCAAAAATTTTGATCAAAGTAATATACCAAAAGTACTTACTTTAGCATGATATGAATAGGAGAACATGAGAAGCTGTCTAAATTTCTGCAGCCTTCAGTGCTCTAGATCTGTAAAATGGGGACAAAAAAATCTTCACAGAATATTGTGAAAATTGACTATTTAATACATCTAAGCATGCTGTCTATTGATGGACGTGCAGTAGGTGCTCAATCATGTTGAAATAATGAAGACCAATCGAATAAGAAAAGCAAAGGCGATTTATTCAGTTGGCTATAGCAAGGGAGTCAGCCACTGTGGCAGAGACACAAAGGCAGAGGAATGGAAAAGCTTTATACAGGCGAAAAGAGAAGGCTTCAGGTATGGCCTGTTTGGTGGCTGCTGGCGTGGGGACTCGATAAGCGGGCTAATGAGAAGCAGGACATCCTCTGGGATTAGTTAGGGGAGCATATTTATTTTCACTGATTGGTTCTGAGTTAAAAGTGGGACAAAAATTAAGGAAGCTGCTTAGTTATTAATCAAATCCTGGTCATTTAGGATCAATAGTTAACGGAAGGTATTAACAGTTTCCTGGATTGCTGCTAGAAGTAACAATCAGGCTTGCTGCAAGTCTGACGGACAGCCGACTGCCTTTCTGGGCTGTTTATTGTAGATGTGGTTTCCTGGGCAGTTCGCTTTAAGTGTGGATTACGCTGCAGTTTTCGTATATGATCCAGCCATGCCTGTTTGTATATTGAGTCTATCAACAGGTTTTAGATTCCATTGCCATCTTTCTTCTCTTTGATATATTTATTTAAATGCAGACTGCCTTCTATTTTCAGTTAAATGTTCAGTACAATTTTGGAATTTCTGCACAGACTTTTTTCTGTTAATATGGATACACTTTGTCTCTCCCTTTTGAGTGACCTAGATTTGTGTCTGTTTAGCATAATAAATTGTATATTCAGTGCAACGACAATGAGTCAAAATGGCTAATAAATTGATGGGGCTAAAGATACTTTAGCTTTAATGATATTGGAAAGTTGAATTTAATGTAAAAGCATCAATGCATTTTTATGGAGGAAGACATGGTTTCAATTGCTGCAGGATCATTCAGTCATTTGTGGTGAGTAGTTTTAAAGATTAAGTACTCAACCTCTTTCAAAACACATCAGCTAAGTCTCAAGTATCCATGCCAGCAGAAGACAGAGGAATTGTAGCTGCTCACATTGGTGGAGCAGGAGATCCACAATGGACCTAGCATTACAATTTAAATTTTTCTCCACTCCTTTCCAATCTTTAAGAAACTACTATATTAACAGATTTGCAGTTTTCCTCCTCTTTTGGCCCCTTTTTTCCCTCCTAGGATAGATATACACATGAATTGAAAAACTGGACAAAATGTAGGCAAGAGAAGTGAAGGGTGAAAGATGAAGGCGTTTGGTATTTCACAAGTTTGATTAGCTTCTAAATAACTGAGCATAGACTGAAGGTTTGACTACTCAGAAAATATAATTCTGCATGCTTTATTTTGCACCTTTATCACTTTGCCATCAGTTAAGATTTCATGACTTTGATGAAGATGTTTTAATAATGTTTCCACGCATATTGTAATGACCTTTTGAGATTTTTACTAATCCATCACTAAAAAAAAAAAAGAATGAGAAATATAAGAAACTTTTGTTCTCCCTTGTAGGATTTATGCTATTGTACTATGTATGCTTCCTAGTGATAAAATAGCAGAAATTCAAGCAAAATGATAATACAGAAACAGTGATGTCCCTCTCAATAATGACATCCCTTTCAATAATGACATGGATTTGTCTTTACAATTTAGGAAATCAAAACCTTGACTTCTTATTTTATGAAATAATAAAAACAGTAATAGTAATATCAGCCAGAACTTGTTGAGTGCTTACTCTGACCATGCTAAGTGCTTTAAATGAGCTATTTCATTTTTATTTCACAAAGCCTTGTGAGGTGGGTACTAATATTTGTTCCATTTTAAGAGTTAAAGAAATTAAGCTGTGGAGAGTTTAGATAACTTACAAATGATAAGAGGCAAAGCTATTGATTAAATCCAACATTCAACATTCTCACAGGGGCTCCATAATCCTAAAAAAGCAGGG